CTCATTGGTGACAAAAACAACAACATCAACAACCAGGAAGTCTTCCGCTCCCTCAGCTTCCCCAAGCTGACCATGATCACAGACTACCTGCTGTTATTCCGGGTATCCGGCCTGGACAGTCTGAGCACGCTCTTTCCCAACCTCACTGTCATTCATGGTCGTAACCTCTTCTACAACTACGCCCTGGTGATTTTCGAGATGACCAGCCTGAAAGACATCGGCCTGTACAACCTGAGGAACATCACCCGTGGAGCCATCCGTATTGAGAAAAACCCTGAGCTCTGTTACCTGGACTCCATTGACTGGTCCCTCATCATGGATGCAGAATTCAACAATTACATTGCTGGAAACAAGCAGTCGAAGGAGTGCAGTGATGTTTGCCCTGGTATCATGGAGAACAACCCCCAGTGCAGCAAGACCATGTTCAACAACAATTATAACTACCGTTGCTGGAACTCCAATCATTGCCAAAAAGGTAAGGAAAGTGTTACAGACTAAAGCTTATCAGGGATTTAAAATGTAAATATCATCTGGGCAGCCTTTGGTCTGATTTGTGTAGATTTGAATTTACCTACCTGTCTGTTTAACTGCTTTATTGTATTTTGACGCAAGGAAGGAGGAAAGCTGGGAGGATGTTTTTATGCAAGATTAACTTGTCTGCAGATCTTTGCATTACAATTTCCCAGATGTTTATCTGCAGAGCTCAACAGTGGCATCATTTTTGGCTCAGCCCATGGTTTTGTTGTGTAAGGTTTAGGAACTACTAGTCTGTCTAATGCTAACGTATACTTGCTTGTTTACAAAAATATGTTTTTAAATGTTTCCAAAAAGAAACGGTAGCTCACATATCGCAGTCAGATGTTTTGTATGGTCCAGTAGTTCTCACCTGCCTTAAAAAATGAAAACACTAGGTGAAGGAGTAAATGTTACAGAGCTTAATTAAACCGCTCCGGTTACGATGAGTGCGAAGGCGGCCTTTAATTTTGTGTTTACGACTGCAGCGTTTTAGATGACTTGTTTTGCTGGTGCTTTTCAGACGATGTGTTTTGGCTGACTGTGTGCGTGTGTGTCTGTCTGAATTGTTTCCCTGGTGACTGGCGCCTTGCTGCAGACTCAGCATGTTGATGTTTTCTGCCTTGTGACATAGAACTGTCGCTGGGCTCGCTTGGACTGTAAGCATGTCTGTATACATGCGCACACACACGGTAATGATCATCAAACGCATTCAAAGCACATACAGCGATATAGACACATAAACAGGTAAATTACATATGCAGATATCTCTGACAAGCACATCTACGCATGGCCTGCTTCGTGAGTCGTTGGATTGACAGCGTGTGGGCATGATGGGAAAGAAATCAGAAGGTGAACTGAGCTGGAGGAGGATGTGTCGGATGGATGAATGGATGGATGTGGATGGAGGAGGTGTTAGGTGGATGAGAATAATGCTTACTGTTTGTCATTCCTCTAGAGAAATGGACAGTCTTTGTCTAGAGACTTTTCCTCTGCTTGCATTAGACACAAGGACAAAGTACAAGATAATTTTATCATTCAGTACTTTATGAATGATGACCTAGAAAATTTACCACAAGCAATCTGTCTAAAGTTATGTCTTGCAGGAAGGCCATGTGCCGCCCCACCTGCTGCTTCATGAAGTCAGCAACTTTTTTGTCTTAGTATACCAGTTGCACAGTCAGCGAGGAGATCAAGTGTCGCGCTGTACAGAAACAATAAAGTTTCTTCCGATAAAAGCCCATCTTTCTGTCTTCACTCGGAGATAGTAATATTGTTTTTCAAGGGGCAGAGGAAGATGAAGGACAGTAGATTAGGTTCACTGATGAACATTGGCACTGGGTAATATTTTATACATCAAGTCTGCGCTCATTCAACAATGCCATGTTTGTTTTATTGCATCAATGTATTAGTAAATGTACTAGGAATCCAGTTTCCTAAATTTGAATGTTTTGAATTTGTGCTTATTCAGAGATGTTGTGATTAAGGACTTGAATCCTTATTTTAAAGATTAAGTTAAAATTTCGTCTTTGTCTTCTTGGCTTAAAAGCCAGAATATATAACGACTATAAATGTCCCAGAATGTCACAATGACTGCACAAATTACATTGTATTTGTGGAGACAGTGGGAAAACTGATAATGACAATTTATAGTAATGCAGTAATCAGCTGTCTCTCAACTAAGTCCAGTGCTTTAAACTGCAGCGGTAGTCTTTGTTCTGGTCAGGCACATGAACCAGTTCTCCAACCTTTCTAGTTGAAGGAGCTATTGTCACCAGCTGCAGTGCACATTTCTCCAGCCACTAAAGGAGAGACACTCTGGAGCTGCCTGCACATAATGCTCACTGTCGCTGCCCAACAGCACATGCCTAAAGTGACATTTCAACTGCTGGCAGGCACTTTGTGGTCTCTTCAGCTTGTCTTACACCACTTAAGTTTTGTAACCTGGTACATGTGGTGTCTTTAGGTGATATATCAATGGA